TGTTAACTGCTGGGTGGGCACTTGGCCACCCGTCAGCCTTCTGGATGTAGCTAATATTTACCTGATATCTCTATATTCTCAAGACAGACATTCATTTTCCTCCACTCGTATGTAACCTAACCTTGGAGAACTCGCTTTTCAGTTTGCTCCATTACCTGCCCGTGCGCTGCAGGTGGGGCTGCGGCTATAGCTGCTGCCAGCGTCTGGCTCAGCTCGGCTGCTGCGAAGTTTCATCTACAGAGAGCGATGAAGCAGGACTAGGCAGAGCCAACGCCGCGGCGCCGGCGGCCTCTCTCGGGAAGGGGCCTCCCGCTAAGCTGAGCACCCAGCAGAAGGCCGGACAGACACCGAGGGACTCTCACTAGCGCGTGGAGGGGCCTGCGGACGAGGGCAGAAGGCACAGAGTGCGCATGTGGGGGTCCCATGGGGAGAAAGCCCCTCAGCAGCATCTTGAAGCAGGCTGTACCTTTATCCCTGCCCACCCCAACTGTTTGTCCTATATAAGCCATTCTGTCACTGGGAGCTAAATAAAAGCTGCAACATGCAATTCGTCTTATAGAATGAGCATGGCAGTACTTAGCGATCACCTGATGAACACGAGTGTCTTAGGGAAAGCCAGGCCCGTGGTCACTAGTTTGTGCTAAGAGTTCACACTGGGTTATTTATGCTACCAGGGCCCATTCTGGTAGAGAAAACCGGTGGCCTGCGCCCATGAGCTCGAGAGACGCACCACACACGCGTCTGTGCTGTGAGCGCTGTGCCACCAGGCCGCTGAGGGGTCTTTCACTCAAGCTGGACAGAACATTTCTGGACTCTGAATGCTGGTGACCATCAGCTCTGCGTGTGAGCACCCCTCTGACAGTCTCCCGGCAGCCCCCAGCAGCCGTCGGGCTCTCTGGCCCATGGGGTGGCAGCTCCCCGAATTCTCTGCTGCTCTGCGCTGTTGGCCGCTAGTCCCCTTCAGGGTCAACCGTCCAGCCTGCCGACCGCTTGTGACACCAACACTTTTGCTGTTACTGGCTCATCCTGGCTCTTACTAGGGACAGAAATCATCAACAGGCAACATACGTGCCAGTGAAAGAGGCTTTCTCAGGCTTTCTCTGCAACGTCAGGAGCGACGGTGAACAGACTGAGCAGCTAAGCCGAGCAGGAGGTTGCGCAAATGGGGAAGGCGGGGTTGCGCACACGCGGCGTTACAGGCCGGGGAAGGCCTCCTGCTGACAGGACGAAGGGCAGGGGGACAGAGGTTAGAGCCACCCGAGAGGATGTGGGCGTGGGGATTATCGGGGATGGACCTGAGGCTGAAGAAGTGTTTCCCAGGGTTGCTACGGGGCATCTGATGTAGCCCTGGCCAGCTGCAAGGTGTCCAGGGCGGCAAGGAAGAAGGAAAGTGACCTACAGAAGCTGCCTCTGGGGAGCACAGGCTCTTCTGTCTCCCACAGCAGGCAGCGGTCACAGGTGGACGGGCAGGGGCTGAGAACGCATTCTGGCATGAGGTCTGGGACACCTGAGGTTGAAATGGCCAGAAACCTTTCACAATTTGCCTTGAGCCAGGTGTAAATGTAATCTAAGCCCTTAAAAGGATTTCTCATAGATGAAACGCAAGCTCGAGAAATGATGCAGACATTGCCCACTGTCAGGACGCATGACCTCTCGCCCACGGCCTTCCCCATCACTGCCCCTCGTAGGACAGCTTCCTAGTGCACAGCTTTCCCTCCCAGCCTCCTCACCTCTTGTCCAGCTCCCCCAGCCTGTCGCCTGCTCACAGATGCCTTTTCCCGGGGCGCTTGGAACTCTCCCAGGCCTCCTGTCCGAGTTCTTGCGTATGACCCACGTAACCTTGGGAGTTCACCTTTCCTTTTCTTCATTACATGCCCACATGACATTTCCAAGACAAACACAAACTCTTCTTCTTGCAGGAGTTCACAAAGCAGTAGGTCAAAAAAGCATTGGCTTAGGAACTGTCATGTATAAAAACAGGGTGTTCACAATATAGGGTGAATGTTCTAAGTTTTTAGATTTCTAGTTGAAGACGCATCGCGGACAGTCACACTTACAGCACGCCCCTGGCTGCAAACACACTCATCGCGCTGTTCTTGCCTCTTTCCTAAGCACACCTGGAAGTCTCTTTAGTCTGTGAGGTGTGATGGGAAATTCAGTGGATGCTGCCGCTGAGCTGCGTCCAACAGAAAGGCAGCTCGTGGACGCACTGAAGGGCGCCCTCTTCCACGCTGTTCGCCAGGTCTGCACCGAGAGACCGAGGGAGCTTTCCAAGGGCAAAATGACCCTGCAAGGAAGATCGGTTCAAGTCATCCAGGAGCCATGACAGTGCAACTAACGACACTCATGAAAGATTTGCAGAACTGTCTCAGAAAGTGACAAGAATGATGGGATACGTGTGTTTGATGTGAAGATGAGTATTTTGAGGGGGATGAATTCCACTTTGTCTTTCACTGTAACAAATTGTAAACATCAGCATATTTGTTGATTATTTCTTGTGGCGTGCATTTCTTCTCCACCTGGCACGTGGTCAGGGTGGGCTGGTGGTGCTTTTGCCCACTGCTGGCCTCCTTTCTGGATAGTTCCCTTTCTCCTAATTTCACAACTCTTCTCTTCCTGGGGTGAGGAAGTGTTATCATTCTCTCTCCTCCCTCAGAGCACCGCTGTGGTTAGTGCGGCATCCACACAGCCTTCCCTGGTTAGTACGGAATCCACACAGCCTTCCACAGTTAGTACGGAATCCACACAGCCTTTCACAGTTAGTGTGGAATCTGCACAGCCTTCCACAATTAGTATGGAATCCACACAGCCTTCCATGGTTAGTGCAGAATCCACACAGCCTTTGTTAGTGTGGAATCCACACAGCCTTCCACTGTTAATACAGAATCCACACAGCCTTTCATGGTTAGTGTGGAATCCACACAGTCTTCCACTGTTAATACAGAATCCACACAGCCTTTCATGGTTAGTACAGAATCTACACTGCCTTCCAGCACGCATCCTCAGAAGAAGCCACCAAGAGGTAGATGATCTCCAAGCACCCTTTTATTCCCTGAAGTGTATGGAGTAAAATATTACCTTTCTCTCCAGTTAATAAAACACTATTTTGTTCCCTACAGATGGAGATTTTTAACCTCTGTGAACCTGTTTTTAAATCTCTGAAATAATACCACTGGCCTTACTAGCAGCTTTAAATGGGCTAGTTCAGAAAATATACCCATTGTGTGTCCTCAGTCTATGTGAGCTCTTCTATTGTGGCCCATTCTTTTTTCTTCTCTCTTCTTTTCATGACCCAATTGCAGGCTGTGCTGGCTATAAGTGAGTGCCACACACCCACAAGACTACCTTTACTCCCATTTGTAAAGCTTGCCTCATGCAACCTAATAATATTTTTATTAGCGTAAATACTATCCTCAAAAGTATTTAGCTATCAAAGCCATCACAAGTACCAATGAACTGTTTGTGTGACCATTATGCCCAGAAATGCTTGCAAAGAAAAGGCTGATCCACAAGGAATTTAAATACCACTGCTGCTTTTACTAGGGAAAGAAAAACATTTTTTTAAAAATATATTTGAGTATAGGGTCTACAGGGTCTCACTACACAGATCAGATTCATAGTGATCGTCCTCTTTTCAGCCTCCCAAGTACTGGGATTACAGGCACGTGCCACCACACCCAGTCTCAATCTCTGTTTCAGTGCACCCCAGGGGCAGGGCTGGCATGGCAAGCCGGGCAGAAATTTTGATTCAGATGTTTTTGTATTAAGAAGTGACAGCAAACCAAAGATGACTCTACCTATAACCTTCTGCATTGCAAATGACAGCATATTACTGGCCTCCATGGTTTTAAAGAATCACACTGTAAAGATAGACCAACCAATTGCCTTGCGTGGTCTTTATGTTGATCCCTATTAAGTAAATCAACTGAGGTGATAATGAAAATAGGAATTGGAATGAGAAAATTAGGGGCATTTGATTACTGTGTTTTATGATGCTAAGAAATGACCACTTTTTGTTTTTCATTATATTGTGCTTGCAATTTTAGACTGGTCCTTCTAGAGAAACATGAAAATACTTATGAGTGAAAAGAAACAAAGTCTAGTGGTTGTGTTACAAAAATCTAGGGGTGTGTGTGTGTGTGTGTGTGTGTGTGAAAGTAGTGGGGATATAAACACAAAATAGATGTACTGATACTGGCTCAAGCTGAGTAATGGCTACCCTGGGGTTCACTATATTTCTCTCTTCTCTTGTTTATACTTAAAAATTTCCATAATTAAAAGTTTTTTGAAGAGTCTATATGAAAAATGAAGGGACCATGGTCAGTTTATTTTCCTACTATCAAAGAGCTTAAGTTCAAATTTGGCAGCGTGAGTGCTGGAGAGACTTTTACTCTGCAAGGCTGTGTCACCCATGAGCCAGGCATCAGGGCTCTGGACCACTGTCCTGTGGCTTCTCCTAAAACGTGACCAGGAAAAGTAATAGCCATGCATCCTCATCCTCTTGGACTGCCCACTGCCTCCTTCCTTTGTCACCCTGGAAAACACTCGCTCCTCCCTGACCCTCTGTGTTTTCTCCCCAACTCTCTGTTTTCTCTAGTTTCTGACATCCAGCAAGTCAGAGCTCTTGGTTTCACCCTTCACCCTTTCTACTTATGCACCTTTAATTGATGCTTCCAGTTCTGTGGTAGCAACTGCCATTCATTCATCTGGTATTCTACCTTCTGGTGTCTCTATGACTTGGAATCCACTTCGATTTATTAGCTTTGCAGACTTTCACTTCATCATTCTTTTTTAAAGATCTTTTATTTATGTATTTGGTACAAGGTCTCATTATGCAGCTTGAACTCAGTGATTCTCCTGTCTCAGCCTCCCCAGCACTGGGATTACAGGCCTGCGCCACCATGCCCAGTCTCAGTGGCCATCTCCATGTGCCCAGAGTCTGGGGCCAGTACAGCATGTGGTACTGGGGATTGAACCCCCGTCCTTGCACTTGCCAGGGAGGCACTTAGACTGCGGAGCTATCTTCCTAGCTCTCATCATTCATTCTTGAAATACTCTAAAGCTTCTATGTTTGCACCAGACATTAGGGTGAAGGCAGAAGATGCACAGCTGAGTGAGACATGAGCCTCCTCTCCACAGTTTTGCAATCACTTGCTGACATCTCTTCAGTTTATTTCTCAAGATATAATCTCTCCCCTAAGACCTAACAAAAGGAGTCTGCTGAGAGGCTGGTAGACCTTCAGACTGTCATGCCAGGGACAGTGCTGATTCACTCACCAATCACTCCTACCCACATTTTTCTCACCGTTTCCATTGGTGGCCTCAACAGCTGAACGCTGAATTCTTTTCTTTCACTACTCCACCATCCTTGCCTTCGTTCCTACTCCTTTCCCGCACATACCTGACCCTGCTGTCACAGCTGTGCCTGAGAACACACCCAGTCTCCCCTCAGCCCTCCAATATCAAAAGGCTTTCACCCTTCACAAACTGCTTCCTCAAGGTTATTCTGGTACAAAGTCGGAAGCTCAAGCTAAAAATCTTAACTGTCACTGCCAACTGCTGTTCACACCGGAGGTGGATTTTGTGATGACTCCTCTCTCTATGGTTAAGTGTGGAGGACATATTATCACTGCATTTTGCATGAGGTGACTTGCTCTGTGACTGCATTATGGGTGAGGGCAAGGGTCAGAGAAAGCTTGCCTGGTTCTCAAGCAAGGACCCTTTCATATCTTAAAGGTTGTAAAGCAAGCTCTTCTTGGCTTGTGTAGCTACGTTTGGCAAGCAGTGTCCCTTGAGATGTCGACTGATGCTAGAATTCTACAGAGAAACAACCTTGGGAACTGACAGAAAGCTAACACTGGTTTCCGTTCTTTCCGTGGTCTCTGCCTTTTGTCATGCTGAGGTGCCTTGTGGACATTAGCTGTACACTGCACCTTATACGGCCCTTTCTTGTGTGACCATATTTTCGTAGCCTCTCTCAGGACCAGTTTTCTCCAGAATAAATCAAACAAAAACACACCCTCAAGAAAGGGAATTTGGGCCACAACACCAGTGCTTATTCTTTCATTCTATTGGCCAGGAGAAATGGTAACTTTGACATTCAGCGGGTGACTGCTCCACCGTGGGCTTGTTATGCATGGAGTCACACATCATTTGCAGCCCTTGGGAAAGCTTTTCTTAAGCTCAGCCCAGCTGAAGGCTCAAGGAACTCTCAACGTTTGTAGAGAACAAGTTAACTGTTTGTATGTAAACCCAGGAAAATAATAGTGTTCAGTAAAGAGATCCACTCTTCTGAGCACTTCTAAATTCCAGTCACTAGGCCAGCAACTTGTATTTGTATTATTTCATTTGATCCTCAAAATGCTCCTGGGGGAATAGATGCTGGTGTGACCCCCACTGTATAAGCGGGAAGGTAAAGGCTCAGTACCGCCTGCTAGCTCATGACGGTGGCTGCATAAGGTCACGAGACTCCTGCCCACGCCTTCTGTCTGGCCAGACCCTGAGCTTTCAGCCTCGTGCTCTTATCCTTCAGCTCAGTACCAGCAGAAATTCCCACAAAATCCATGGACAGAGGCAGCCCTGTCTGTACCCAGCTGATGATTTTGGCAACTGGATATCCACTTTCTTGAACAGCGTGGAGCTTGTAGGAGGGGCTTAAGAAATCTGTGGAACAGCAATGGGAAGGTGTGACTATGTGGAGCTGTCGGAGGGAAGCACAGAAACAATGGGCCCCTTTGAAGAAAAGCATCAATTAAACGATATCATCTCTTCCCTGTGAGCTTGGAAGAGAAGCCATGCGAGTCCTCGGCATGACTGGCGTGAGTCTGGAAGCTGCTCCTGTAAGTAGGGTCATGGTTTCTTTGTGAGCTTCTGGGGCTAGTGAGCCAGCTGCTAGGCTGTGATCATCCTCACTCTGCTTTTGCTGTGCTCTTACACCTGCGGTTGCAGCAGTATGAATCAGATGCATTTGCACAATCCTGCCTTTCCAGAAAGAGAATTGTCTGTTAGTCATACATCCATTTCTCACCTGCCCAACCAGTGAAGACTGAACCTTAGATACCTGCAAAGACAGCATGCCACCCAGAGGGACAGGGGGCATTCATATGCATTTGTAAAGAAAGAAATAAATGTGCAGTTACCTTCGAGGGAGCTTGTTCAACTATAAGAGAGACAAATTCTGAATGCCTGAAGACCATCTTCAAAGAGAAGCACATAGGCGGAGTTAGGTGAGCTACATCAAGATAAGACAGAGATAAGGAGCTGTGTGCACCACGGGTGGGAAGAGAGAAGTCGTAATGATCTAAGAGAATAGGGGTGGCGCGAATAGCCAAGATGAGAGAACAAGGTGCGGCTCCAGATAACCAGGAAGACAAAGTATGGTTCAGGAAAGGCAGAGACATACAGTCAGAAGACTTCATCTGTTTCTGGTCCTAACACTGAGGCTGCTCAAGGGACTCGGATTGAAGAAGGTGAGGTGTGAGGGCCACCGCCAGCCTTCCACCTCCTCCCCGAGTGCATTGGCTTCCAGAGCTAACAAGGCTCAGTGCACACCTGCTGACCCTTCTCGCCCATGAATCTGTAAGCACTGTCACTTCTGTTCATTCACTATAGTTTAGCCTGATTCTTCATAAGAGCTGAGGTGTTTATTACACACGAAGGCCAAGGAAGCCTGCAGTTCTTCACTGCTCCCGCTGTGGCCTAAAGACAGCCAGTCCCTTGCCAAGAAATGCTTGTTCAATTAATAAAAAAAGGATTCAAAGGACCAAAGCTTGTTCAAGCAGCCATCATCATCTCTTGGCTCTCCAGTCAGGAGATTAAATGTCCCTCAGGAGGGCTGCAGGTTCTTACCCCATGTAGCACTTTCACAACTTAATACCATGTGGAATTACTGGAGCTTACACCTCCGTGAGGCTGGGTAGCAAGTCACCAAATGCCCAAGAAGTGGCATGGGAAAGCCATCTCAACTTTGATATAACAAAGTAGAAACACTCCCATTCACTTACTGAATGCCTTAACTTTCAATCATATAGAGGTAGGCTTAAAATCTTTTCTAGAAAGTTCTTTTGGGAATGTAACCTACATGGTTGATTGGAAGGATTTAGAAGGGTACCAGATGCTAGAAACATCAAATATCTAGAGCTTTCAATTTGCTATGCTTGCTAAAGATGTACGTTACAGTCCTGCACCCCTAGAATAGCTACCTCGGCACAGCCCAGGGGTGAGCCCCAGAAGTCCAGGCAGTTTGAAGGCATGGAGAATGCTCGACTTAACCTTTCCTGTTGCTATTCAAGGAAACGTCTAGGGACAGGCTGGTGAGGCCCCTTCATCAATCCTCCCATCCTTTCCCTCGCCGCTTGCTCTTTTATTGCTAGCACACATCACCTGATCTTTCCTTGAACTGCACATATGGTTTCCTCAGGTTTGCGAGCACAGCTCCGGATCCTGTAAAGAGATGAACAAAGCAGATGTGAATTTGCATGTGGCTCTCTCTGAATCTCCCTACATGACCCTGCCCAAGTTACTTCACTCCTTTAGCTTGTGGTTTCCACATCTATAAAAGCGTAGACAACAATGACCGGACAGGGCAGCTGGGAGGATTGCATGAGGTGAACAGTGGCGGCCCATAGTAGCTGCTCAGTAATTTTCATTCCCTTTCTACTGAGTCATTCTAAAAAGCGTGAGTAGCTGATGCCTCCATGTCCTGAGCGAATACCTACCCAACTATGTATGCATCCAGCGGCGAGGCGCAAAGACCAGCAGTGTTTACCAGGGAAAGCTCCTAGGGGCGTGAAACTGAAAAGCAACACACTAGTTTTTGTGCTTTTCGGGTGACCCCTCGCTTTTGGTCACGCCTGAGTGCTGCCGAGGCTGTGGGCCCTTTGCCAGCTTGTTCGTTATTCTGTTAGTCTGTTAGTCTCTTGAGTGACAGTGTGCTTCATAGAAGCGATTCCTCTGATATGGAGATGGCTGTGAAAAATACAATCCCATTTGTTCATTCATTCATACATATTCATTCGCCCATTCGTACACATTCATTCATTCAGCATTCATTCACTCACACATTCATACATATTCATTCTTTCAGCAATCATGGAATGCCTACGCTGCAGAAAATGCCCTTACGGGGACTCGGGCGTGACCCGGGAGTCACCCGTGGGTTCTGGAATTCACGGCGTGGCCAGTCCACAGCCCTCAACAGTCGCCGGGACCACTGCACCCCTGCAGCAGTGCTGTCAAATTAGCGTCTCGCTCGCAGGCCCTGCGGGGGACCTGTCCGCAACCCTTTTCAGGAGAGGGAGCCCCTTCCTGGAGCTGGCAGGGCTTTCGTCTTCAGTTTTAATTTCAAGGTGCGGTGCGTTTCCTGTGCACCTCATTCCTCGGCCACCCTGCGCATAGCCTTCGACCAGGGCCGCGCTGCGCTGGTCACCCGCCCCGCCGCGCCCAGGTTGCTGTGCCCCGGCGGCCGCCAGGGGGCGACGAGCGCGGCCACCCTGGCGCGCGGCAGCCAGCGCAGACTCGGCTGGCTGGCCGGTCGGGTCCGAAGGAGCCCGGATCGGGATGCTGCGGCGATCGCGGGGAAGCGGAGCTAGAGCGGAGACGGGCTGCCTGATAAAATGCGGGACACTAAGTGAGGATTCATTTCGGATCGCCCACAGATACCGATCTTTTAACAAAATGAGTTGTTTTTCTGAAATTCGTATTCAAATAAAATTCAAGCCGGCAGCGCCACGGTTTTATTTACAAATCTGACACTCTAATAAAAGGCGAGGGGTCCCTGGAGAGACGGGGAACCCTTGGGCGCGGAGGGAGGCCGTGCTCACCCCGTCCGCGAAGCCAGAACTCCGAGAAGGCCGCGCGCGGGAGCTTGGACCCAGCCGCAGACGCTCGGTTTCTGCCGGAGACGCTCGGCTCCCGCCGGAGACGCTCGGTTTCTGCCGGAGATGCTCGGCCCCCGCCGGAGACGCTCGGTTTTTGCAGCAGACACTAGGCCCCCGCGGGAGACGTTCGGTCTGCGCTCGTGGCCAGACAGCAGATCGCGGCTGCGGAGCCTGAGGCAGACCACGCGGGGACGGATCCGAGACCCTGGGGCCGCGTGGGCACTTGCCTTTAAGGCCGAGCTGGCCCGGCCCGAGGGTCTTCCTGAGCGTCTCCTGCCCTCCCGGCCCTCCGAGGCCCGCCCTCCTCACAGCGCGTTCTGCTGGCGCGCCTTTGCCATGCAGTGTTCTGCAGATTCTCAGACCCGGGCTCTGCACAAAGCCACCCAAAGCCGCGTTCGTCCCCCGCTTCCTCCCGCGAGGGCGTCCGGGAAGTGGGCACCTGCGGGGCCAGGCTGCCCGTCCGCCGGCTCCTGCCGTGCGCCTGGTGGGCCAGCACTGCCCCGCGAGCCGGCGCTTTTGTGAGAAGCAAATGGCAACACTGTGATGTCAGAATGCAGCTGAGTCGGCAGGCGGCGCGATTTCCCCACGCTGTTAGCCCCGGCTTTCTGGTTAGAGCGAAAACCGCCTCTGCGTTCCTTTGTGCTGCTTCCCGTCGCGTGACCATCCAGATACCGCAAGGTCGCGCGCGCGCGCGGTGACTGCCAGAGAACGCCAAAGAAGCCGTGCACGCGGCTGGCAAGAGCGCCGGCGCCGCCCCTGGTCACCGCGACCTTCCTGGGGGTGGCCCTGCATGTTTTCAACAACCAAAGGGTGGGTGTGTTGGGAATGGCAAATCCACGCTCTCCGGGGCCTGGTTTTCTTTGTTTGTGGAGGTTCTCGACATGCTCCCCTTCTAGGACTCCTAGAAATACACGGGCAAACGTTTCCCCTGTTGATCCGCTGAGCGGTGGCAGCAGGCGTCGCTAGGTGCTGCGCGGAGCTAGACAACCTTGCTGTGCTAGACAACCTCCCGCCCCTCGTGCCGCGTGCCCTTCCTGCGCCGCTGATGAGAACGGACGCCGACGGCCTTGTGGCATTCCTCTCCCGTGTACCCGGCGCCGTGTGGTCTGCCCGGGCACTGTGTGGTCTGCCCGACACCGTGTGGCCTGCCCCTCCGACGGCTCCCGCATTTGCACGTGGCCCTGGTAGGTGCTTCAGATTAATTGCTTTCTTCTTCTCGTCGTTCATTTTATTCCCTTCAAAAACAAAACCTGATTGTGAATATTGAAAAGATTCAAGAAATCTTATCCCTAAAAGTGGATCAAGAGCTCTTGTAGATTATTATTAAGTGGAATGCTAATAAAAACCCAAAATCCTATAGAAATTCCTGTTTCTGGCTTGATTTATTTAACTCCTCGCTTTCCTGCAAAGCACAGCAAGGTTAGGGCATCTGCCCACAGCCATTGATGCGGTAGGAGGTCAGAGAGAAACGCACACAACCTGCTCTTAACACTACGTACATGATGTAAGAGTTTACAGATTTAATTTAATTTTTAAAGTAAAAATTCACAGGTTTAAAATTATTATTTTTGAAGAAAAATAAAGTTTTCTGAAAAGCAGCTGTACTTCCATGGTGACAAATGAAAACAAAACACATTGTTTACAAGAATATTAAAATATGAAGTAGTGATAAATCACACCACAAATTTTACTAAACTTATATACAGAAAACTAGAAAACATTACAGAGAAATTGAAGATTTCAAGAAATACATTGTAAGGTGAAACACTTAAGGAGTATACTAAAAGCTAGAGAAAAGGAACAGATCACATTTAAAGGGAAATCCATTGGAATAATGGCAGATTTCTCTTCACAAACCATCAAGTCAAGAAGAGGATGGAGGGTCCAGGGAGATGGCTCAGTGGAATAAGCACTTCCTTGGCAAGCACAAAGGCCTGAGTTCAATTCCTGGTTCCGAAAAAAAAATAAACAAAAAATAAAATAAAATAAAACAAAAAATTAAATTAAAAAAATAGCAAAGAAGAGCGTGGAGCAAAGTACTACAAATCTTGCAAGAAAACCAATTCCAACCCACACTGATATACCCTGAAAAACTGTCTTTCAAGTTTAATGGATAAATGAAATACTTCCATGACGAAGAACTAAAGAAATTCATGAGGATAAAGCCAACCCAACACAGACTACTAAAAGATATTGTAGAGAGGGATCAAAATGACTATAACACCATGAAGGAGAAAAGAAAGAACCCACCAAATAGGGAAAACAGGGTCAGGGAGATAGCTCAGTAGAATAAGTGCTTGCCTAGCAAGTACAATGTCCTGAGTTCAATCCCCAGTACCGCCAATCACCAATTAAAAGAAATAGACTGGCACAATGGATTAGGAAGCAAAAATCCAACAACACAAGTACAAGACATCACTTATAAATTGATTGGTTTATATTCAGTTTTGTCCAGCTGGTAATTTCAATAGTTCTATGATTTGTACCTCAGGAACACAACTTTTCATGAATCATAAATAATGCTTTGTCCTGGCTTTATGGTTTACTGACTTAGAAATAAATTTTCTGCAAAATCAAAATTCAGTGTAGATGCTGCCAACGTCCTTATCAATTTGAATGTGGGGAAATTAGAGAAATCATGTACCAAAAAAAAAGAAGATGTATTCTATACTATATATCTTAGTTTTGGACTACATCTATAAAATAAATGTGTATACATTGTTCTCAAAAAAAAAAAACCACTTAAGGATAACAATTGAATTAAAAAATTTTTTCTACTGGGGATCAAACTCAGGACCTTGCACTTGCCAAGCAGGTGCTTATGTCGCTGAATTATCTCCCCAGCCCTAATTTAAAGTAAAAATTCACAGGTTTTAAAGTTATTTTTTCATTTAAAATTTTATTTTACACATGTGTGCACACATTTGGGGGGCTCACAGTGACATTTCAGTGATCATTACATAGTGTGTATGGACTAGATCCAGGTACCTGAGGTATCTATCTTTTCACACATTATTGCTCCTTAATTTTTATTTTTTTGGCAGTACCGGGGATTGAACTCAGGACCCTGTGCCTGCCAGGCAAGTGCTTTTTCTACTGAGCTATCTCCCCGGCCCCTCATATATTATTTCTTTAAGTTGCATATATTTAAGATTTTTTTTCTACTTGCTATTTTAAAAAAGTATTTATCTGTTTATATACCTATTTAATACAAGGTCTCACTATGCAGTGCAGACTCATAGTGATCCTCCTGTCTCAGCCTCCCCAGTGCTGGGATTACAGGCCTGGCCACCACACCTGGTTCAGGGCCGGCACAGCATGCAGTACCAAGCAAGAATTGAACTAGGGTCCTTGTGCTCACCAGGCAGGTGCTTACACTACTGAGCTATCTCTCTAGCCCATCAGTTGCTATTTTTGAAATGACCCATTTATCCCCCCCCCCCCCCAGTACTGGGATTCGTACTCACGATCTCATGCTTGGCAGACAGGTGCTGTCCCACTGAGCTAACTCCCCGGCCCAGCCCATTTACTTTTGATCTTCCCTTGTGTGATCCTCCCTTGCTGTGGGATTAGACATCATTCTTCCAATCAGAGCCCCCTCCTCCTCTAACTCCTTTCCCCACATACACCCCAACTCTAGGAAACACTAGAGTGCATTCTCAGCTTTTGTGAGTTCAATGCCTTGCCTTCCACATAAGTGAGAGCATGTAGTATTTGTCTTTCTGTGTCTAATACATCTTTTAACACAATTTCTTTCACACTCATCCATACTGTTACAAATGACTTTTCATTTTTAATGGATGAATAATATTCCACTGTGCACATAGGCTACACTTCATCCAGTCATCTGCCAGTAGAGCCCCTGGTGGAGTCCATATCGTGTTTCTCACGGCAGCAGTACTGCAGAAGTCAGGGAAACGAAGATGTCGCTTCACAACCTGATTTCTCCCACCCTGGGGTAGAGTTCCTGTACTGTACAGTAG